TAACCCCCTGCCCCCCCCCCGGGCTGCAGGGGCTGGGGGGGGGACAAGCCGCTCCCTGGGGGCTCTACCTTTGATCTCCTTGGTGAAACGCACTCTCTGCGAGTCTGTCAGGGGCTTCGGCTGCTCGTCGATGTTCCGGATGTCCAGCACCTCGCACATGAACTCAATCACGGGCTGGGCTTTGTAGAAGGCAGTGGCCGACACTGCAGGACAGATATCACGATGCGTCTCTGCTCCCTCCCAGCAGACCGACCTGGCCAAGAGCCAGTCAGATCCAACCTCCCCAAACACACCCAGCCCCACCGCTGCAGTTCCCCAGCACGAAAAATACATCACCATCAATGTTGAGCATCATCTTCCACATGGCAGGCCTGACCGACTGGTGGAAACCAAACCAGAACTCCCTGCCGCCTCCCAGGGGGTGGTAGTAGCCTTCGGGAGGGGAGAAGAAGGAGCGGCCGACAGGAGTGTACCTGCGAACGAGGGCAAACCACGTCAAACAGCACACGCCAGCCCCACTGGCGGCAACCGTGACTCACCCCCAGCCCCTCCGAGCTGCTGCTCACCCTGCTGGCTGCATCACCCCGTTTATTTCTTTGGCAGAAGCATCCAGAGCGATTGCACCGAACGGCACAGCCGGCACGGCTGCCTTCTCCCAAAGACCGTCAAGGCCAGTCCCAACCACAACAACCTGTCAAGGGCAGCCAGTCCCTTCCCCGGCATGTTCGCTGCTTGCGCCACGACCCCTGCCACCCCCAGCCACCACCCCCTCCCCTGGGTGCAGGTACCTCATGGAAGCCAGGTGCCTCATGGCAACATCCAGCGCCTGGACGGACTCCAGGGGCACGGGGATCTGCCCGCTGACCAGGGCCTCGTGCAGCATCCGCCAGCTCACGATGGCCATCCATTTGATAGAGACCTTAAATATCCTGTCCTTGCCTTCCCCCGGGATCGTCACCTCAAAGTCAACCTGGGTGCAGAAGGGAAAGGGAAGCGATCACGGCATCCCCGCAGGCGCAAGGGAAGGGGGTCGTTTTGAGCTGGTCCCTCCCAGGCAGGAGGCAGGTCGCGCTGCCTGCACGGGGCTCGCTGCCCCCTCTTACCCGCTCATTTCCAATGGGTAAGGCCGTGACAGTGTAGATATTCTTCTTCCCGTCGTAGACTGGCTTTCGGTCACCAAAGATCTGTGGTTTGAAGTGCTGTACCATGTACTCCACAACTTCCCTACGCAGGCGAACAGGGCAAGAAAGAAGGGCAGGGGAAGAGAAGGGTGAGGTTCATTTTGCCGGTTTCTTTACAGCCCGACACCTTCTGCGACCTGCCCGGTCCCAGCCTCCCCATCCCGGGCACTTCTGAGCTGCAGGGCACCAGAGCGCAGAGCCGAGTGCCCCCCGGGGCAGGGGGGTCCCTGGACAAGCAGCCACACACCTTGCCCCACAGCTTGGTACATCGGCTTCGGCAGAACGAGTTTACATGGCGTGCAGGAACGCACACCCGGCGGAGCTGGGGGCAAACCCGCTGTGCGTGCCGGGAGGGCGAGCAGGAGCGACTCGCTGCCCACCGAAAGCGTGCGCAGCAGTTGCTCACCGGCCCTCGGGGTGCAGAGCTACCCAGGCGGCCGGGGCAGGAGGGGATGGGCAGTGAACAGGACATCAAAAAGAAAAACAAAGAAAAGTATGCGATGGCCTGAGGTCTGGGCTTGCTATTTTTAAATAGGGGATTGTTGCCAAAATAGCATAGCTGCTTTGAAGCAGCAGGGGACTGTGCTGAGGTTCAGGACCTCCGAGGCTGTCGGGGGCAGGGACCCGTGCTGCTG